CTGAAAAAAAAAGTGATTGCCGGTGATTTCGCGCGGATTAAACAGAGTGGAAAGTGAATATTGTTTAGGACGAGGGACCGACGCGTGAAATCGTCGGCTGTCGTTGAACGTTTCAACGTTTTTAACGCAGAACGAAACCCACATGTTGTTGGACAAAGACTGAGTCAGCTCTATTAAATATTAAATTTTCTGCTAATTCGCTTTATCAATTTTTTCTTATTTTAATATATATATATATATATATATATATATATATATATATTTTTTTTTTTATATAGGTACATAAAAATGTATAGTTACATAAGTAGGATTGTAGAAAAATTACCGGCAATTTTTGACTCTATCTTAACCCACAACCTCTGTTCTAAGCTAGTCTGATCTTAATCTAAAACAATCTGACCCTAACCTGGTTAGTGTTAGGGACGGCTTATCCGAACCTTAATCTAAACTGCAAAGTAAAACTTCGCAGCGAATGAACAGTCTGGAACAGTTTTCCTGTTCGCAGTGTCATTTCTGTGATATTTATTTTTAATTTAAATTTCGAAACGATCCCGAGGTTTCATAAAAATCTGGCGTAATATAATTATTAAATAATTAATTAAATTATTTTTACAGATTTCTTGTCTTTCCAATCTTGTAAGTCCACTTTCGGAAAGTTGGGAAGAAGATGAGATTGAGAACAAAGTTCACTTCAGACACTTGGATGTGTTCGAAAATATTAAATTTAAAGTTCGATTTGTAAGGAGAGAGCAGTGAATCTACTCCCTGGTTATCTGACACTTTCGTACACACTACCACTCACCATCGATCAAGTAACTTGTAAATGAAGATCGATAAGCGTAACCCATATGAAACAAAAGAAGGATTTTTTTTTTAACAGTGATAAAGTTTCCGGACTTTTGGAATTACTAGAAACTTTTTCTCGATATAAACCGATAACATAGTACTTGGCAAAAGCTATACCGACTTTGTGCCGTTGGCACGGTTAAATGTTGCCTGGAACTTTCGGTTCAAAATTAAATAAACTAGAACACAAAGACTGTGTTAAATGCTGCCTGAGATTCATTTTATGTATCGCGTTATGAATTCCACGCATGAATGCCAAAAAGTTAGAATCGCTATATCTCACGGTATGGCTTTAGATATTTTGCCAAATCTCGGAAATCTTATAATGTATGTTATAGAGCAGTAGAAATAATAAACGCAATTCTAATAACGTAGAGACAAAAGCAAGTGAGTTTAAGGAATGAAAAATTATTTTAAAAAATGAGCATATGTGATTATATGTAAAAAATTACTTAAATAAATTGAATATATAAGTTTTGTAAGATCAATGTATAAATGTTGTATAAATGATTGAAAAGTAATCATTATTCATGTATTAGTATAACTTAATATTGTGATAGTTTAAGAAAATATTCTTTATTCACATTGAAACAGTGAAATGTTTTCGCTTTTGCGAAGTAAGCAGAGAGAAAATGCAAATTTTTCTGTTCGGAGGTGCTCTCCTTTCTGGTAAAACGAAAGTACTTTACCGCATAATTTTTTGCCCATCTTGCTGATTTATAGTCTCGGGACGACTTTATTGCTCGACGATCTTCCACCAGGCTGGTACATACATAAATGAAGCCCGGTTATACCCATTACTCACAAACCTTTCATCGCCAATCGACTTTCATCTTCTTTAATCTTACAATCGAGATAATAAGGGAAAGTTGAAAAATTACATATATATTATAATACAAAAGAATACATTATATATGTATATTTACATTATTTATGATTTTGTTAAAAAAATAAAAGAAAAATAATTTTACTATAGTATTTTATATGTTATATAAATCTTAGATGTTTATTAGTTCTCTTATCGCAGTATGTCATTTATCGCGCTTCAAACATCCTTTAAGAAACAGCTAATTCGTATTCCAAATGCGAAGAATAGCAAATGCAATCAACACAATTCGGAGCTAATATACTGAAAAGATGTTTGATATGCGAGCGGGGTTTCGTTACTCGATGGCGAGTGAGTGGTAACGCTCGAGGTAATTCCTTGCACTCCTTCTATTTACCGCAGGTGTATACGCTTTTCTACGACAGTATTGGCACGCCTACACACATACACATACACACATTTACGCACACATACAATGGCATGTGCATGAACGCGATAAATCGCCGACACTCGTTCGTCAGCCGTGTGTGAAGCTTCGCCAGGATTGCAAGTCGGAGTAGATCCGTCACGAATGCAAGCGCCCACAGCGATGCACACGAAGTACCGATTGCACTCGTATTTTACAAAGTTCCCCGGTGCTTCGTCTACGTTATTTTTTTCTCGGGGATGCGCCGGAAGTGTGGGAAGTCGTCTTTTTGCGGAATGAGTTTCTGATACGGCCAAGCGCTCGGTAGATTTAGGCGATTTCTAAGGGCGGGAAAAGACGAAAGAGGGAGGATTTGGCTGCGGCTATTTATCGGCTTCTTACTACGGGATATGTCACCATTAAAGGTTCAATTTTCCTATCAAGGTAGTGAAATTTCAACGCAATATCTCGGCCAAGTGATAAATCATTCCGCTAATGAAGGATATCGTGAATAATCGATCAGCGAATGAATCTCGAATATATAATTTCGTGGCATTAATATGCATTTTTAGCGAATTAATATTCGATGTCGTATGAAAGGATTTGATCATGCATGCAAGTGTACATGTAGCACGTAATGTTACTTATCGATATTCTCGTAAATTGAAGAATAATGTATTATATTCGCATAATTTTTTGAAACGTTACATAATTGAGCTGTCAAGTGCACCGCATATATTCCAATCAAAAATTCTCTAAATTTTCTCAATCAAAATTATTACTTAAAAAATAGGGCATTTAAAAATAAGACTAGTTATACATCAAAATATATAAATATATATATATATATATCATTCATGTTAGAAGCGTTTAATTGTCAAGTTGATTGAAAAGCACCTTTAGTGCAGTCGTACATACATTCGAGATATGCGAGACTACATTTCATAGCACATTGATTCACGCTCGAAGTCGCACCAATCGACTTCTGTCGTTTTAAGCCGGGTCGGGCCAACATTACTGAACTGACAGAAACAAGATCGCTACTTATCTGCGATCTATCCATTCTGTGGATCAGCTCGTGCGGATCCAAGTGTCGATGGTAGTCGGCGTTTGTGTGTAGGTGTGATTGCTGGGATACAATGCTTGATCCCCCACCCTCCCCCGTTAGTGAGAAGATCCATCGAGCTACCCCTGCTGCGAGTTTCTGCCTCCATCCTCTTAACAACGACCATCAATGTGCTTTAGTCGCTTTTGTACGGCCCATTCCACAAGCTCGTTGTTATCTTAACGGTGATAAGCCCCGGTAGGAGAACAGACGATGACGATGGCGAGTATTTTTTCGTTCGAGCAAATCTATTTTAAATTCTCTTCCTATCCTCGTTCCACGCATTCCATAAACGACGCCCAGATATTTCTCGCCCCATGCTTCGTAGCATATTAATTTCCGATAAATCTTAGCGCGCTCGCGTTTCACACCCGCTTTCACATTTACCGCTCATCACATCCTTATTACGCTGCCGAAGCGACAACACGCAACGATCGAATTGCGGTATCAGAATCTCATTTCGTGATAAGACGATGCTATCGTTGTTTCACTTTTTCTCCCTTACGGCAATATCGTATGAAAGAAAAAGAGGCGACGCGATTTCGCGACGGTGTTTCCATTTATTTTAGTGCAAAACGTTATAATGAAATCGATTTGTATCTGGAGTGAGAGTCAATACGGAGGAATAAATATATTATATCTATCTTTGTCTATAAGAATGATTAAAAAATTATTTCTAAGACAAACGTAAAATATAATATAGAATTCATAATATATTTATTATTACAAAAGACACATATTGTAAAGTCATTTACTCGAAATTTATTATTGCTTCTTTTTCATGAAAAATTTAAATTAAATTTCAATTTGTTATTGCAGATATTATATATTTTGATTATATATATTTTTTCAAGTGTTGGGATCGCGGCGGATAGGTCCATTCACGGTATATTACTTTTGCTATTGTTGAAATATGTTAAACATAAAAATTACTCAAAATAAATGTATTAAAAATATTTTAAAAAAAATTAATATGTCTTGTATGAAAATAGTATTATAATTAATAATACAAATATGATCGAAAAGATGAAACATATATAATACATAAAAAATTATATATATAAAATTATATAATAAATAATACACACACACACACACACACATATGTGTGTGTGTTATAAAATATATGTATATATATATATATATATATATATATATATATATAATATATAAAATTTATTTGGCGAATTATTAGAAGAACTTTGAGGAATAAGAAAAATATTATTAAGAGGGGGAAATTTAGGAGAGCTTTTAGATTTAATTGAAGATCTAGAAATTATTTAAAAAATATTATTTACATAAAGTTGTTATAATAATTGTTAAATAAATTTGTTAATATTTATATATAAATGATAATAAAAATTAATATCTAAAATAATAAACATTGAAATGAACGATTCGTAGCACGTGTGCTTTGTACTGAAAATAACTAATTGTAAAAATATATAAATTAAAAAAAACAAATATATGAAAAAATAAAATAAAATAATTTGTTGGTGATAATTTATTAAATGACATTATTTTATTTTTAGTTAGAATGGAGTTTTAAATATAATAATATATGTTTATAAAAATAATTCTTATATATTCTATGTATTATATATAAATATTAAATGTGTGTGTGTAATCATATTTCCAATAGAACTAATTATAAAAGATAAATAAGTTATCTATTAACTTTATTATTCTTTAATCCATCTTTTCTCTTATTCATCTTTTTTAATAATAATTATAAACTTTTCTCTCTTATTCTTTATATCAATTAACGGCTGTCAGTTATGGGAAATAAAGGAAGTTATTACTTTTTTGTGTTTCAGGATTTTGATGAAATAACCACTCATGATGATCAGCATGAAGTTTTTTCGCGTCATTTTGGCGCTCTTAGGGAGCACGCATGTCCTGTGTGCACAACCGTCAGCATCTCCAACTGTGAAAACTGGTGAGTAACTTCTTTGACAATGCAGTTGATTATTATTGCACTACGACACATTCATTCATCATAATTTAGCGATATTTCCTGTTGTCGCGATCGGGAATCTCATTAATTTTTTGCTACGTACTGAGAGATGAATATATCTATTTATACTTTCATTAGCAGTGTGTTTTTTTAACGAGATATCATGTGCGAACAAAGTATTATTGCACTGGAAATGCTATCGTTACAACCGCACATGGTACTGTATCGGAAATTAAATCTTTTTCATCGAATTGTTGTATGTGACATTCGTATATTTCCTCGCTATTTTACATGATTATTAATGGATTCAACTCGTGCAATGTTACGCGCCCCGGCCTTTATCAATTAAAGTTGATGCATTCAACATCCATGAAATTAATAAACAATTTAACAGGCTGCAACAGCAGTCTCGATATTTTCAAGGTTTTTCATGTCATAAGTAATAAATGTGTGAATCATATTATATAAACATACGTAACTATTTTGTTGTGAATTATGAATGCACAAGGATTATAAATCCTCATAAATAATCTTAGTTCTTTTATTATTTTTCTCATCAGCTTTGTACCATTTTCAATAATTATCGTGGAAAAGAATAATTAGGAAAATAAAAGTATGTAGTATAATAATATTCCAGTAAATAATGTTAATCTATAATAACTATTGTGAATGCCGGAAATAGCGGTAATGAAATATTCACGAAAGCAGCAAATAGAAAATAGCCGAATCAGACGGCGAGTGAATGAATCTGTCCAAGAGAACGAGTAACGCGTACGTATCGTTCCGAAAAATGGGACGTCCATCTCGTTGGCGCGATTTTTCTCATTGACACGTTAGATTACTTTTCCGATCGACATGAGACGGAAAAGACAGGAAAAAGAAAGAGAGAGAAAATTGCAATGTTCGTGAGAAATAGAGTGAATAATTAAAATACTCCGTAATGCGATACATATAATCAGCTTCTCTCTTTTCATTTTAATTTTAGCACATCTGTTTCAATTAGAGACGCTTAACTAAATGCAATTAATGGAGAAAATTAGAGCACGTTGAATAACTAATATTTCTTTAATTTAATTTATGAAACTGTACAGTTATCATAGATTAAATCTATCATTGTGCTATTTTAATTACATATATATATGCACATAATAAGCGAGAAAGCAGCTTTCGTCCCATTTCAACTTAGACAGCTTTTCCAATTATTTTCAATTTATTGCTTTAATTATTTGGCACAATTTACACAAAACGCTACTTATAACTGTACGCAATTAATCGGCATTTCGAAATGCGAGATGATATAGATGGTTTAATTTTTCATTAAATTTTATATGTTCGTGAAATTAAGCTAAGAGCAGATCAATTCGTAGATAACTCTCGCAGAATTTAATTCGACTATCGAATCCGCAATACGATGCTCTCATATTTTTCCAGATAGCTTGGGGAATGGGAATCGGTGCGCTTTTAAGCGTAATTTTCATTCATTACTTACGAAACCATTAATTTTGCATTGAAAACGGTGGATATTCGTTGTATATATGTATGCGCGCACGCATTTCGCATAACATTACGTTTTTATCTCGAGGATTTTACATAGCTGTGTCATACAACATTGTTCAACGTTGCATTCTTCAATCACGTACAATGTCCCGGTTGATAAGCGGAGCATTTGTGTGTTCCTTGATTTCCATCATGCAATGCTTCAATTTGTGCTCGCAAACTGTGCGTAATCCGATTGATTCATTACCGTGCGAATCTGAGCACTTTATTTTTCCGAGCGGTCCGTATTGGTTTCAATGTGAATGACTTTACCGTAGAGTTCTTTTTTCATACTGAGAGTTTAATGAAACGATCGATTCTCATTTGCCGTCTCCCAGCGGAGCAATTTTCGAGAAGAAGCTAACCTAGATTTCGCATGAACTATTTAGTGTAATTTAGTAATTGTTGGACGAAGATCTAACATTATCCTGCTAATATATATTACAATATTCTGGAATTTATGCTTCAATTATGTTACATATATTGATTACTTTGATTATTGCTACAAACATCTTTTATAACTTTAATTATTAAAAAACGCTTGTAAGAGAGTAAATAAAATGATTGAAATAAAAAATTAAAAATTAGAATTGAAATTTTATGAGACCGTAGATATTTTTTTACAAATTGCATAATAGCTGAATAAATATTTTTACAAAATATGAAACTAATGAAAAATAAATTATTCTAAATTAAACCTGTTGTAATTTTGAATAATGAAAGAGCAGATTTATGGGAAATTTTTGGAAATAAATGATTATTTTCATTATTTTTATTAATATAGAGTATTTCAATCGAAAAGTAAAAAATGACAGTAACATTGGAAGTAAAAGTTAATTATATCGATTCATTCTGCATGTATAATTTTCACTGATATCGTTAGTTCCTATCAGAAGACTTATGGAAAATCTTGAAACATTAGATATGTCTTAATAACGCCACATAAGTTTGTTACAATGTGCATAAATTTCACGTCATTATGAAACTATTTGCGATAATTACGTTGCGTCGCGACCAATACGACTTAAAAGGTCTTTCGAAGTAATTAATTATTGCCGGAGTGTGAAGAGCGAGGAAGGTGATAAATACAACGTCTACAGTTCGCTAACCAACAGGCACACAAACATTAAAGCTCCACATATTGTTCTGAAATTGAAGAGAGGATCCGTGATGAGGATCAGTAGATCGCACGCGTTATGCTACTGGATTTGCAAAGACATGGCAACATCATTATACGTCACATCGTTATTAGCACGTCGATGTTCTATTTTCCAATATGGATGCTTTTCCGATCCAGTAACATTTGATTATACATATACCATCCGTCCTAGACTATTAATTAAAACAGCGAATCACCGCTGTCGATTAACGTAGTTAGTCGATGCAATCGAATTTTTTTATAAAGCTTCTCTGTTATCACTTGGACAAGTGATATTTTCCCAATATTTTTACTCCACATTTTATTCCACAAAATATCAATGTAACATTCGCTGAACTTGTGGCACAAATATAGACTATTATTTTGATGTCAATTTTAGAAAGTTTAATGTTTGGTGTTGAAGTCGATGATAAATAATTAAATAGATAATTACTTATACAATCCACTTCAACAACAAATAATAATTTAAATTAATGTAAATTATTATTAATAATTTACATTAATTTTTTTAACAATATTTACAGAATTTTTTAGCGCTTATATTTGTACAAAAATGTATTTTATATTATATATTGAAATATGTATTAAAAATTTAGGTACAAAGAATTTTTTGATGAATGATCGACATGTAATATATAAGTTGATGACGAGGGATTGAAATTTTGCACAAATGTGTCTCTTTCTCTTGTCGACCGATTCGCGCGTTCTTACTTTTCTCGATTATATATGATGCTGTGCAGTATAATGCAGAGGTCGGCTCGTCGGCAAGTATGACCTCGATATCCATTGCGGTAGGGTGCACAATCCACGGCCGACACCTCCACCAATCTCGAGACGCGATAAAAACTAAGATTGCTATGCAATGTAATCAACGGCGTACCCGTGTTCTTTCAGATTAAAAAACACAGTCCGCGGGATTACCGGCCGAAACTATTGTTTTGCCAAGAGCAAACTTCGCGACCGAGATTGTGCCCTCGGTTGCCGGCTGCAAAAACGTGCAGCGACGGTTGAAAATCGAGATCGACTGAGGAAAATCTCGACTTTCTGTCGCGTGTACTTCAACCGTATCTTCACGCTTGCATGCGCATATGCGCGCCACGTATTCTTTTGAGTATCAAAAATTCGACATATGCCGAAAACGAAAGCTTCTTCTGCTTTTTCTTTTTTGTATTTACTCTGGTTTTATGTCAGGGCAAAAGATCTTAAATAAAATTGAAAGAGCGAAATCAAATCAACTCGGTAAACCTGATCTGTAGAAATTTATATAAATTTGCATAAATTTGCGTTTAGTATTTATCGTGAACAGGATTATACGTATATGTATATGCATATATATTATATTATATATATATATATATATATATATATTATATATATATATATATATATATATATATAATGATGAATATACATACATACATATAAAATAAATAATTGAAATATAAATAAATCCCTCCCTCTCTCTCTCTCTCTCTCTCTTTCTCTTTCAATATAGTTTCTTTCATTGAAAACCCACAAAATAATATATATGATGGAGATAATATATTATTTATCAAAATTTTCCCTTGATTTTGCCTCAGGTGTAGTTTTACGTTTGAATAGCGAAACATTGCGAATACAGTTCAACAAACAATGCAAGTTCAACAATTATTGAGCAGCGTTTGGTCAAAATTGAATAACGTAAAAATAAAAGAATCGTATTCAATGTGAAAACAAGTACTTATAAATAGCATGAACGAAATCTATATAGCTTGTTTGTGTAATTTTAATATGCTGAAAAAGTCTACATATACATATATATGTGATGTCTCATTTTAAATGCTCCAGGTAAATATCTCGAAAATTGAGATTGGTAAATAAAAATATTTCAAATAAAAATTTTGTAGAGTTTAGAGGGGGAAAAAAAGACAGAAGAACATTAGTTTGACCTTAGATGTAGGTACTAAGATTAAGCGAAGGACTTCTTTTTAAACGAGACTATCCTAATTTGTCCATATAAATCGATTCCTCATAATATTCCATATAAAGGATTTTATAAGGATTTTATTTTAAGGGTAAAATAGCCAAAAATTGAGTAGTTTACGAGATATTTTATATTTTAAGTTGATATAAATTCAAATAAAGCTATATAATATTTCGTAAAATATTTATTTTTCGATTATCTTATCTCAATACTTTGTATAGAATAATAAAAAGATTTAATTGATATAAAGAGAAACGTAATAGTTTTTTTTTTAAAAATATGAATTTGGAACAAACTACATATTTCTTTTCGTTTCAAACTATT